TTTTTTTTTTTTTTTTTTTTTTTGGTAATGTTTATAAGGCCGAAAATATGTAATCAATTAAAAATGTATGGATAATGAAATTGGAAAGGATAGAGTAAATATTTCTAATCATATTAATATGTTATCAAAACCAGGTTTTTCTATGATTTTGTTATGGATAGTCATTGATTTATAAATTAATTACACTTTTGTATGTTACTTTTATGATAATCTTGAAAGCCAAAACATTTGCTTTCATGTTGTATACTATATTCAGCCCATGCATGCATGCACCACCTTTTCATCATTTTCAATATTCACGAAAAAAAAAATAACAAAATTATTACACTTGCCCAAAACGCGACCAAGTTCTTTTTTATATATATTCTAATACATAATGATGGTTTTAGCCATTAATATCATAGTGTTTTTTATGTTGTTATTATACTTTCTAAATAAAAGAAATGCATATTTCATAATTTGACAAAAATTTAAAATTAGTCTTATAATTTGGCTAAAATTCAAGAATTCATCATGTCATTGACCACTTTTAAATTTGATCATTTTTTATCTTTGCACTCGAGGGCCGATCTCCGTCCGGCCCGAGGAAACCTTTGCACACCTCTTTATTTTGGGGGCGTATACGATACTTGGGCTCCGGGAGGGGGAGATGTAAGAAAAATTACCAACTTGACCCAACTCTTGAGAGTTCGCCCTGAAGATTGAACGAGACCTTCCTCATGACTTCAAAATTTGTAACCGTTAAATCATCATGTAACTGTCATGAATAGTTGATCTACCAGTTACAAGTTTTGATGAAATAGTTTCGTAACGGGATCGTAGAATTTTCATAAATTATAACAATACGTACTCAATATTTCAAAGTTAGTTATTATTGATTTTTTTTAAAGGGACTAGCGGCGCGTGCTTAATTATGCCACGTACGCATGTTATGGTTAGACAAGTTATATATTGTCAAGATTACTTAATTTAATTATTAATATCAACTGTATATATGAGTATGACGATTCGAAAATAACTTCTTTG